GATGTGGGATTTGTTTGGGAAGATTCACATGTAAAAGAGGATCAGAACAATGACAGCTTAAAAAGGCCATGGTTCTACTTACCCCAGTAGCTTTGGACATCTGTCAGCTCTGTAATGACAGAAAGTCAATCATGTGTAGAACCAGCAGACTCTGGTTTGGTGTTTCTTTCCTTACCTGACTCTCTCTTAGCCGCTATTTCCAAATACTAACTATAACCTCTATTCTTTTTATCTGTTACCACTACAATCATCCCACATTCAAATTCTGTCTCCTCAATCTCCTCACCTCTGAACACTCGTAGCATCTTTTTCAGATCTGGGGCCCGAAATGCACTCTTCAGCTTGGTGGGAAGATCTTCTGGTTTTTTCAGAGCCCAGTACTCACTCCTAGGGAACAGACATTATGAATCTCCTATACGGCTGACCTTGGGTTCCTCCAGCACCACTGTCCTTCATCTCCTAGGCCAGTGATGGTGAACCTATGACATGCGTGTCAGAGGTGACACGCGAACTCATTTTTTTTGGTTGATTTTTCTTTGTTCAATGGCATTTAAATAAAATAAATATCAAAAATATAAGTCTTTGCTTTACTATGGTTGCAAATATCAAAAAATTTCTATATGTGACACGGCACCAGAGTTAAGTTAAGGTTTTTCAAAATGCTGACACGCCGAGCTCAAAAGGTTCGCCATCACTGTTCTAGGCCCATGGGTAAACCTCAACACTTTCCGGAAGAAAATTAGCATCATTCCCCCAAAAGCCCTGATGCTGGGGCCAGAAAACCAGAATAAGAAACTAGCTTCTCACTCTCTGTAAATTTTGATAAGATTTAACCCCTCAAAGCCTCTTTTCTGTTTGTCTGTTTGTTGCTTTTTGAGGGACAAGGCTCCATATTTCACATGGACCTGGTGTGGGGAACTTTAGATGTCACCTTTAAGAATGAGATGCTAGAGTATGGGATAGAGAGTATGTGTTTTTATCTCAGGCCAAAATAACTCTTCTCAAGACCTCAGGTCTATGTTTTTATTGAAATTGAAAAAAAAAAAGGAAGTGTGAGGAGAAATAGGTAGCAAGATATGAACTATTCCAAAGCCAAGGGAGAAAAGGAAATTCAAGGAAGATGTGCCAAAAGCTGAACTTTGGGATAAGACAATGTAGAGAGGAAACTTCCCTCTGGTAAAATACAGGGGCAATGAAAAGCCCTGTGTATTCTGACACAGCCATAAACTACTAGAATCAGGGCTGGAAACAGGCACGGAGATTTGTGGAAAAGGATTTCCATCACAGGCATTAGGAGAATCAATGATACTCTAACCCTTTATCCTTAAGGGCACTGCTGTTCCCAACTTGTGACCTCCCATTACCCACATTATCCTACCATAGAAACCAGGCCAGTCCCTTTATTTTGGAGGCCCCCCAATTCTCATGATGAGTAGTAACTCGAGACACCAGTCCTAAATCTTCTCTGCCTGTGATCCTTTTCCTGTCCCACTGACCACAAGGTAACTCTATGGATGGCTGCAGAAAGCTTTTGTCACTCCAAAGGAACCACCTCGTGTTCTCCTGCACATACCTTTCCGTGACAGCACTCACATCCTAGGGAGAAAAGAGACAGGTTAAGTCTAGGAGTCATAAGCTCTGTCCTCCAGTATAGCCTCACCCAAGTTCCTCATCCCATTGCTACCACCCCATTATATGATGGGAATATTGATGACCGATATAGAGACCACAAGGCAGAGATAAGAACTTGCAAGCACATTATCCCTGAGACCCTATATAGGGATGTCAGGAAATGATATGATTCATCCATTGGTACTTTTATTTTTACAACTGTGTGTGTGTGTGTGTGTGTGTGTGTGTAATGTTACATATGTACATCACCCATCTATATTTGCCAGACATTGTGCCTTGCCCTAGAGAATATCCCATGCTGAAGCCCTAATTTCTGTCCTCTACATTCTGGTTGCTGAGGATACAGGGCCTTAAATGTGTTTTTTTTTTTTTTTTGTAGTATTATTTTTAATTTTATTTACTGAATTTTTTTTTTGAGAGAGAAAGAGAGAGAATGATTTGTTATTCCACTTATTTATGCATTCATTGGTTGCTTCTTGTATGTGGCCTGACCAGTGATCAAACCCACAACCTTGGTGCCTCAAGACAATGCTCTAACCAACCCGGCAAGGGCAAATGTGGTTGTTTCTTAAACCTCATCTCCTCTAACTGTCTATGCTCTTTTTGTTGAATTAATTTATTTTTCTTGAGTTCAACACATATATGTGGATTCCCAACTCTGTACTTCTCAGCTCTTTTACACAGGCAGTCCTCGGATTATACAGGACTCGACGTAAGTCATTTTGTGGTTATGTTGCCATCCCCCATTTACAGTATATATATATAAAAGTTCCATCATTTGGATGTATGTATATATGTGCTTTATGTTTTAGTATTTATTTACCACAAGTAAAGGTCAGGAATTGTTATCTTTAAATTTTTTTTTTACTGTTTCAGTTCATTACTGCTGTGTATGTGCTCCATGTGAGTGATGTAGGTGCTTATGTAGGTGGGTTCCGACTTACGGCAAAAATCAATTTACGTTGCACCATAGGAATGGATCTCTGACGTAACCTGAGGACCTACTGTATTGAATAGAATTACTTCATGGCTTATTTGGTTTCTCCAACTCCTGCTTTATAAACTTAAGTGACTGAAGTAAAGGTCAATGGTTTGATCTATGTGATTATTTTGATTGCATTTAACAGAAACACAGCTCAAATTGGCTCAAATATGGAAAGTGGTAGAGGTGATGGATGTGCCCACTTATACCAAATATCTAGGATTGCATCAATTTTAAGGCATGATCCAACCAAGTGACACTGCATGGCTCTTGTGTTAGCTTTATTCTCATCATTTACATTTTAAAACTTGAAAGCTGACCAAATCTTAATGGGCAATAATGCCACACAGACATGGAAAAGAGAAGGAAGAATGTGTCTGTGATGGGCAAATTCTAGAAAAATGGACCGTAAGAGAAAACTCAAATTAAAATGTCCTTGGCGCCTGGCTGGCATGGCTCAGTGGTTGAGTTGTGGATGTGCACACTTATACCAAATATCTAGGATTGCATAAATTTTAAGGCATGATCCAACCAAGTGCCACTGCATGGCTCTTGTGTTAGCTTTATTCTCATCATTTACATTTTAAAACTTGAAAGCTGACCAAATCTTAATGGGCAATAATGCCACACAGACGAGAAGGAAGAATGTGTCTGTGATGGGCCAATTCTAGAAAAATGGACCGTAAGAGAAAACTCAAATTAAAATGTCCTTGGTGCCTGGCTGGCATGGCTCAGTGGTTGAGTGTCGACTAATGAATCAGAAAGTCACGGTTCAATTCCCTGGCTTGTGGGCAGGATCCCAGGTGGGGGGCATGCAGGAGGCAGCTGATTCTCCCTTCTGATTGATGTTCCTATCTCTCTCTCCCTCTCCCTTCCTCTCTCTGAAATCAATAAAAGCATTTTTTTAAAAATGTCCATTGGGTAGCCATACTAATGAGTGTGAGAGCCTAGACAGATACCTGGACTAGCAATATAAATTGATGATTCCTCTATACTTATGAAGCAATGTTACAATTTGAGGAGTCTGTGGAGGGGCTAGAACTGCGGGGCAAGGGGTGAGGAGAAGAAAACATTAGGGTAACCCAACATCAAAAATGAAAAAAAAAAAAAAAGAATGAAGAAGTTAAATCGGAAGCAGTCAATGAAGAAAAGCTTCAACAGGTAGAAAGTAACTACCTTTTGACCTTAATACTGGGGTCTAAGAATAGATAAAGAAATGATTATCATACTGGCAAAGGGAGAGCAAGAGGAAAATAAGTCAAACAAAAAAATAAGGAAGGGCCTGAAGGTTCCAGAATGTCACAAGGTGCTCTCTGCAACTTCATGGTCATACTATTCACTCTATGCAAAAAACAACTCTCCAGGTTTTAACCTCAGTTCAAGCTCCACCATCAAAACTCTCTATATTGGACCCCTTGCACCCTCCCGACACACACATACACACACACACACACACACACACACACACACACACACACCAGAGCTCAGTCTTCTTGTGTCTTAAAAGACAATTTCAAACTCCTATTATAACATGGTAAATGATTCTGCCCTAGAGAAGAGAGTGAAAGCAAAGAAGGGTAGGTGATTATATAAGAATCTCTGAGTACTTGAGCTTGGTATGTGTTTATCTGCTATGAAAGTGAGTTAAAGCACATGACAAATTATAATAGAGTATCATTGACAACAGGTGCCTAATGGCCAGAGTTTCTCAACAGGGGGAGGTGGGAGATGTTCCCCCCAAGGGACTTATGGCAATGTCAGGAGGGTTTTTTGATTGTCACAGCTGGGTGTGGGCACTTCTGGTATCTAGGGGGCAGAGGGCAGGGATGCTGCTACATCCTACAGTGTACAGGGCAGCCCCTCATAGCAACTTTCCTAGCCCATTATGTCAATAATGTCAAGACTGATTCATGCTCCTATAGAACATCACTGGACACAGTAGATTTCCCCCATAGTAGCAACGGAACTTTTGGACCACTGTTTATATATCATAAATGCAAGTGAGATATCTCATTAAGAGACATGACTTCTACACAGTTGAATAGGGAAGAGGCACCCAGGGTCAAAGGAATTTTATTTTTGCCTCCATCAGGATATCAGTCCTGTGTCAGAATGGTAGGAAAATTAGTCTCTCTTTGCCTGACTCTCAGGTTGGGGATCCCTCATGAGTCTTACCTGCAGCAGCTCCACTGTGGACCCCTGACACCGACGCTCCAGATCTGAGATGAGCTCCTTCAGTGCCTGGCTCTGGTGGGCCAGCTCATCCTCTGCCTCTTCCATGATATTCAGCCCCTTCCTCTCTTCCTCCTCCAGTTTTTTCAGTTGCCGCTGCTCCTCTTTGTCCAGGATACTTCTCAACTGATTAAACTCTGTTTGGATCCTGTGTCTCTCAGGTTCCATCTGATTCTTCAAGGACATGGAAGAGAGTCTGTTAGCCTGTGGAGCTGAGGGTGTCCTCTCTAAGGGGTGGGCAGTCAGGCTCAGCACTGCTTCCCTGGCCAAGTCTCACTGGTAGAGGAGTGAAGGGGGGAAAGTCCTGCAGAACCTGGCCTTCCTTTAATTTCCCCCTCCACTCTTCCAGAACTTTAGCCTCTGGTGGACTCATCGAGGCCTCCTAGATGTAAACTGCGATTCCTGGGTGAGGTTTAGATTTCAAGCAGCCTCCCCGGTCTCGCCTGCCTCTCCATTAGCCTCCCCATTCAATTCTGAGTGAGGAGGTAGGACTGATCGGCCTGTACCTAACCTGTCCTTCCAAGTTTCAGAGCTTGAAACTGTAGAACAAAGTCCACAATCAGGAATTAGAAGCTGCTAATGGCCATGGTTCCTCTCCTATTGACTGTGGTGAAAAACCTGGATTCCCGTTTGATATGTTCATTTTCTAACTCCCCCTTTTCTCTCCCCTGCCCTCATAGCTTTGTTTGGAAGGGTTGCAGAGAAGGACTAGGCAAAGGGAAGCTCTTCTAGCCCAATCGGGGACAGGACCAGCTTTCCGTGCCCTCAACCCCCAGGACACCTTCAGGAAGTCTCTCTTACCTTCCAGGATGTCCTCTTCTCTATGATCACAGCTTTTAGTTTCTCAGCTTCCTGCTGCTCTTGCCTCAGCCTCTTCAGAGACTCCTGGAACTTCTCCTGGAAGAAACACATCAAGTCAAGCAGGGTCCAGCATTAAATGGTCTCAGTGACTAGACACGGATGAATGGGACAGAGCATGCTGACCTTGGAATAAACTTGTCCAGCCCTGGAATGAAAATCTGAGAGAGCCAAGTTATACATAGGGGATAGGCACCAGTAGGAGCAGGGCGATTCTCTTTCATCCCAGAAAAAGAACCTGACCATGAAGTCCTTCAAGCATTTATTCTCATTGCCACCATATCCCCCCACGCTCAATGCACCCAAACTCCCCTTTTGCCCCCAGCAGCATCCTCTTCTCAAAAGGACATGTAGAGCTGATCCTACGCAGCAAGAAACTGGTAAAGTCTCTACTGGGCCAGGGGGAATTTTCTAGGTTCATTCCTCTAGCTCAGTGGTCGGCAAACGGCGGCTCGCGAGCCACATGCGGCTCTTTGGCCCCTTGAGTGTGGCTCTTCCACAAAATACGGACTTCTGCGCATGGGCCATGAAGTTTCAATCGCGGCCAAATGGGAAGACTACAAAAATTAAATTAGCATAAAATTAAAATTTCCTGCCAAGAACTTTGTGCTTCCCTGCTTTCCCTCCATGGGCTCCCACCTGGTACTCCTGGGCAATCTCCTCCATGAGGAACGTGTGGTGACCACGGTGGTCTTGAGACCGCTCGCAAAGCCAGCAAATCAGCTTTCCATCCTCCTTACAGAAGAGCTGGAGTTTCTCTCTATGGTGCGCACAAAGAATCACCTTCAGCGGCTCCCCTGAGCCCAAGACCACCTCTCTGAGCCTCTCCGCTATGTTGGCCAGGTGCCGATTGGGCCGCAGGTTCCTGAGCTGGTAGCTGGTCTGGCACACAGGACAGCTGCTTTCTCCTTCTTGGCCGATCTGCGATTCCTTGCTGTTCTCTGTGATGCAGGCTTGGCAGAAGCTGTGGCCACAGTCTATGCTCAGGGGTTCCTTCAGGAGCTCCAGGCAGATGGGGCAGGTCACTTCGTCTTGTATGTCCACTAGTACTGCTGAAGTCATTGCAGCCATTCTCCTGGCTCCTTCTGCCCAGGCCTGGCTCCTAAGGTACTTACAGAATCCTGGGCAGATGGGCAAGCAAAAAAGGGTCAGAGTGAGAAAATTAGGGAGAAAAGAAGGGATGCTGACTAGCCTGGAATGAGGAGCCTCGGGTAACAAAGGCTCCTTATTCTAACTTCAAACACATTCTTTACCCGACTGCATGTTAGACTTCAATTTGCAACCTCGTTAAAGATCATGATTTCCTTTTACCTCTTCTGGACGGATGGACACACTGAGGCCCCGGAGAGGAGTGGCCCGTGTGAGCCACCACCTGTTTGACCTTTTCTCAGTCCACCAAAACCCCCCTCAGTGTTAAAGGACCAAAAATAAAAGGCTGCTGCCTCAGGATTTTTGCACTTGCTATTATTGCTGCAGGGAAGACCCTTCGCCTGCTACCTGCATGTCTCTGACTTCATTCAACTCTCTCCTTACATGCTCCCTTATCAGAGGAGTCTGCTCTGTTGAGCCCAGCGGGCTCAGACACCCATACAATCGCTCCTGAGATACTTTCTTGCTGGATTTTTCTTCTGATCACCACCTAATATATATCTTTAATAGTCTGAACTCCCCACCAGAATATAAACTCCATGGGATTAGAGACCTTTTTTTGTTTGTTTGTTTTTTATTTTGTTCCTGTATCTTCCCACCTGACACACTGTCCACCCTACAGGTTCTCAACTCTCGATGAGTTAAGACATAGAACCTCCTAATCCCTCCATAGGATAGACCTTTCTCATTGGCCTTTACACGTCTTTGCCATCACTCTAACATTGCTTTCCAGTATCGAATCCCCAAGATCAAAGGAATCACTTATTATGAAGATACTTCTACTTTTTTCCCTCAATTACAGTTGACATACAATATTAGTTTCAGGTGTACACCACCCCAGTTATTAGACATTACATAATTTACTAAGTGATCATCACGATAAGTCTCGTGCCCATCTGAAATCATGCAGAGTTATTAAAATTTTATTGACTATATTCCTTATGCTGTACTTTATATCTCCATGACTATTCTGTAACTACCAATTTGTACTTCTTAAGACACTTCTGCTTTCTATAAGCCCTTTTATCACTCCCCTAAGACCCTAAAGAAGCAACAATGACCACAAAAACAGGAGATCATGTTTTTACAACTCATACTTTTATAACCAGTTGGGACTTAGAAATCACATTCCTAAGTTTTCTTTATTACTCATAGAAAAACTCTGAATAAATAAGAGTATTTTTGGCTCTTTGAAAAAAAGAGAGAGAGAGAGAGAGAGAGAGAAAGCACACATCTTGTAAGTTGTAGAGTTGTGTAACCTAACACATCCAGAGTCCTAGTTCAAAGCTCCTAAATCTCATAATTTGAACATGACAGTTAAGCAGTAAAGGTGGTAAAAGTCAGGCACAGTCCTGATGCTTTAGGAATGTGAAAACAGCACTTCAGTGCTGCCACCTAGTGTCCTCTGGTTCTCTTTGCAGGTCCTGGACCTATTCATTCACTTTGCTGTTTAGTAATAGCAATCCTATCTAATAAAAGAGAAACATGGGGAGAACCGAAGATGGCGGCATAGGTTAACACCAGAGATTGCTGCCTTGAACAACCAATTCAAATTAAGCTTGAACCAGGGAAAGGACAACATCCAGAGCCACAGGAGGGTTGGCTGAGTGGAAATTCTACAACCAGGAGGAAAGAGAAAAACACTGAGACTCAGAGGAGGCC